CCCTACCTGTGGATGCAATCCCATTTGGGAGGAGGACTTTTTTACTATGTTCATAAGCCGGCACCAGTGTAGAGTGTGTCTTAAACCAATCACCTCTGAGACACAAAAAGAGCAGAGTCCACATGGAGGAGGAAGTGCAAACGGAGGGGCAAGATGTACCACAAAGAGCTACTGAGGAACAGAATTTGTAGAGAGAGAAGGACCTTGCCCCAGAGCTCAGAGAGAGAGCCTTTATTTAGCCAAGTGCTTGGAATCGGAATGCCTCATCTTCCAATCGGTGAGAAAGTGAGTATGTTTGTTACAACCATCCATTTGGTAGGTCTGTTACAGCGGTCCTAAGACAATAAGGCAGTCCCTGACCAGGCTTTTGCTGAGCATATCTGTCAGTTTGTCGTACTGTGGTTGCTGGTGAGTTGCTATGATGCTGGCATTTCAAATACCAGCAGATTTTGCAGATTCCTGGGAAGCTTCCAGACGAAGATACTAAGAAGAAAGACTTGGCAATCTACTCCTGAAAATTAGCCAGTGAAAACTTTGTGGATCACCACAGAATGATATCTGATACAGTGCCGGAAGATGCCCTGCCTGGCTTGGCCATCAGGCCGATTCTAACTCACAGTGGCCTACAACACAGAGTAAAACTTCCCCTGTGGGTTTCCACGATTGCATGGGAGCAGAAAGCCTCATCTTTCTCCTACAGCATGGCTGCTGAGCTTGAAAGGCTGTCACCAGTGCTCCTCTCTAGGATGGAGGGCACTCAAAATGTGCAATAGTCACACAATGGATGCAAGCACCCCACTGATTATGACGCTGGCATAGAACCAGGGAGCATTTCCTTCTATCGTGCATGGGCTCACCATGGGTCAGAAGTGACTCAAAGGCAATTAATGACAACATGCTACAGCACACTGCAGGTTCTGGGGAGAGAGGGCCGCAATACTGCAGGATCTTATGAACAAGCTACAATGAGCAATACAAGTGCTCTAACACAAGGCATGGGTGTACTGGCTCACTGGGTCTCTGGTCATGGGCCAAAGGAGTGTCTTCGAGAAATTATTCAACGTGTTGTGAAGCAATCACTGTGAATGGATTTATGGATTAAGGCGGTGGGAGGTGGGTCTTGAAAATAATGTTAACATCAGACAGACGAGGAGGAGGAAAGAAGGAAGGCCAGACCTGCAGAAAGCAGTGCTCAGAGAGGTGCCCGAAAAGCTCCCCGGTTAGGCTGCAGGACCAGTGATGGAACTGGGGTAACCTGCAGCTGTGCCAAGTGACAATTGGTAAGTACTGCTCACGCATCCTGGGGCACTAAACGACCTAAATATAACAGCAGGAGGAGAACACTGCATGTGTGAGAGTTCCTCTCAGAGACCTCTGATGGAAACAATCTCCTGAGGCAGGAGGTGAGCCTTAAGGGGTCAGTGGGAATTGAACAAAAGGACTCCAAGCTGTCTTTTACAGAGAGCTGGCCCTATGGACTGAAGAGACTTGGGTCTGCTTGGAGCAGCTGAGCATGTCTGAGCCCCAGCTGATGCCTCAGGGCCAGCCTGGAGAGGACCAAGTGCAGTGGGGCAGCGGTTCTCCCCAAGGACCTCCTTCCTACAGATTGTCCCCTCCCCAAACTGGCGAACAGATATTTAAGGAAAAGTGAGTCGCAGCTCAAGTTATGAGCCTGCTGAGAATGCCCACAGGCCGGTGCCAGCCCTCAAGAGACTATTTACATTTCCTCAGCAGTTTACTGCTGAGAAAAAAACTTCCACATTTGTTAGCTTGATTCTCACAGCAGCCATTACATAAGCAGGAGGCCTCTCACGTTATAGATGAAGAAGATCCTGAGGCTCAGAGAGCCCAAGTGACCTGCTCAATGCTACACAGCTGGCAGCTTGCTGAGCTGGCTCGAGGACCCGCCTGTCTACACCACTCAAGCGCCAGCAGTTATAATGCAGTCCATTTACAAAGTTCTCTTCAGTGACAGGGAGCGTTTACAGCAAGCTCGGGCAACAAATGCACAGGCACATACACACTCACATGTACATGCTCTCTGTGTTTTCCTACAAATTAAAACAATATTACATTATCTGCTTCTTTCAAAACCTGTCTTCCTATGGACTTTGTCTCAGGACATTGATATGGTACATACATGGCTATTTTTCAGATGACAACTATTGGAGAGATACAGGTAAAACATTAAACCCTAAATGTGGGTCTGCTTACAAATTGCTGCTTAGAATGATCTATCCTGCTTTTGTGGTCAACGTCCACCCACTTCCTGCCCAGGCCACTGAACACATGCTCTACTCAGCTTTCTCTCCATGTTGCCAGAAGTTATAAAACCACTATTTTCCCCATATGCCTATCTTAAGTAAGGATATGTTTTTAGAAAGTGGCTATTTCCATTGTAGACATAAATTACAGGATGGACTGTATCAATCAATGGCCCCATTCTTAGGCAAGCACAGCCAGATAAAAAGGCATACACTTGATCCCCACAAATCCACAACCCTCCATCCCCCATCCCCATCCCCATCTTCCCTACCAGTTGTTCAGAGCACTTCCTTCACATTCACAGTTCACTTGAAGGATTCAGTAAACATGGGGCGCTGTCTACAAAATGCAGAGTCACCCGAAAGGGAGATGTTAGCAAGAAGGAACAGACGTGCCCCTCTTCACAGAGCCCACCAGATAAAGACCCTGGCTCCTCACTGCAAGTCGTAAATCTACCTGCCATGCCACGCTGATGCACAGCCACCACTGTGCGTTTCTGAGACTGGAGCTGTGTACAGGAATAGAAAACCCTTTCTTCCTTTCAAGGGGCTGCTGGTGGTTTTGAACCGCCAACCACACGGATGCAGCCCAATTCTTACCCACTACACTACCAGGGCTCCATTCCACCGACCAGAGGAGGCCTGCTTTTTCTCCCAACTCATCCTGGGACTTCTACCACACAATACCTCTGCGTGGAACTACCCCGTTGGAGGCCAACGAGGTCAATAAAATTAAGGTCAGCTCACTTACAGCTCTAAAGCAATCTTCTCATCGGGTTTTAAACATCCCTTTTTTTATAATAAGATTTAGACTATTCAGGTCATACTACACACACTAAATTACAATTCCGTTTTCTACCTCTTTTCCCCAGATGCCAAAAGAAAACACCGCATAGCACTCACCTTTCTGAAAACAAGAGGAATGAAGTGATTGCATTCGAGCTAAGCTAACTGTGTTCTGAGGGAGAGGGAAGGTGAGGCTTTCTACTCCCAGACGAGTTGCAGCCTCAGAAACACACAGGGATACTTCTCCTTTGTTCTACTGGGCCACTTTGACTCAAAATTGACTCCCATGGCAATGAGCTTGGAAGCCAAGTATTTTAACGGCATGCCCGTAACCCTCAATCTCACAGAGATCCAAAATGATTTTTACTTCTTACCCATTCACTCACT